GTGCATGAAGTCATAATGCATATATAAAATGACCGATACCTTGGGAATGAGATGAGCTGTGACTAAATTAAGGTCATTCTTCATCACTTTTAAGGTATACGTACGTAGTTTCAAGTGATACATAAATATTGATTATTGGGGACAAAATTTCATGTCGTGTGTACTTCAAATGAAATCCAATAAAAAATAATATAATATATTCAGCCCTTAGCAAAGACGAAGAACATGTATATATACAACATGCATGACAACAGAGAGAAAAACATACATAAAAAGTTATAAAAATCACAGTAGAGTAATAAAATCAAACAATTACAATCATTTGTCGACATAATAACCACCGCACTCATAATTCTTGTACATTTTTTGTACAACAAAAAAGTTAACTTGCGGGCATCTGTTCATGATGGAACTACCTGAAATAAAACAAACTTCGATTTTTCGAGCGAAGGCCTTCGGATCAGCGGACGTTAGTACAATTACATATACTACATATGTATTTTGCTATAATTATATGTACTATACTTTTATACAGCCTCGTACCCAGGCGCAAATAACTAAAAATAGGCACACTATAGTGCTTTTATATAGATCAGTAGCTAAGTTGCAGACTCGTCCCCAATCGCTTTTAAATATAAATACTTGTAGATCTGATCTTTATTAGCGTTTCTTTTTTTGTATTGAACAATATTCAGGCAATTCTCAGGCGGCTGAAGACAAGAGCGGGCGCGCGGGCTGAGGCCGGAAGTGGGCGCGTAATACTGATCTATATATATATATAGAACAAGTGTGAAAGTCTATCTCACAGACTTGGCCCATGAGAGGCTCGGGCCGGGGTATAAATGGCTATGTTTTGTTACATCTGTTTTGTGAAATATGTACTGTGACCGTGTGAATGTACTGTATAGATGTATTAACTCTTCATAGGTACTCATTGTAAATATAGTACTTGTTAATATAGATTAGTTAATTTAGTGATAGAAGAGCCAATTCAATTTGGAATCGCTAATAAATTATTATTATTATTATTATTATTATTATTATTATTATTATTATTATTATTATTATTATATATATATATATATATATATATATATATATATATATATATATATATATATATATATATATATATATATATATATATATATATATATATATTCGTCCCTATAAAATTGAAATTCAAATAACGACTGGGGACGAGTCTGGCTATGTTGAGCGAGCGCGCGGGGGTGCTTGCTTCGTTTCCTGCGTCCTCCCCAAGCACCCCGCGCGCTCGAGCCACTGATCTATATAAAAACACTGTAGTGTGCCTATTTTAGTTATTTGCGCCTGAGTACGAGGCTGACTTTTATATGCATTTGTGATCACAATTTTTCCCAAATATGTTTAATGTGCATGGATTTCTGTTGTGTAAGTTTCATCTCTGTTACAGTTTTAGGTTTCACAATTTCGTACTAAAAAAGCGCAATACTCTTTAATATTTCTAAATTTATAAATTTTCTAAATTAAAATTTCTATATTTCTTGATTCTTACACAAGATTCTTACAACACAAGAATCGAATAGTGATGTTATGTCGTAGTAAAGGTCGCTACAGTAAAAAGTATGCTCTAGTCTAGGGATATGTAAATTTTGTTTGTTTCGATTACAGCAATGCGAAAACAAGCTTTCAGCTGTATAGCACGTACCCGTTGTTTGTTGTCGGCACATTAGTGTCATGCATAATATTAAAGCCCGTAAATTATATTCTTCCTTATACCTACACTGGCGCTCGACATTCATATGTGCGTGCACCAAAACCGTGACTACAATGCCAGAATTACTACTACTATATATTATAATACTAATTACCGGTACCATCTCATAAGATCATCACTTCTTCCACCTTTATTTAGGCACCAGCCGAGCAAATGAACCAATGCACGCGGTCCTTGAAGGTGAACTTGGTGAAAGTGAAATGGTAGAGGGAAGAGAAGCTCAGAATGTCAGAAATCATGCTTTAATACATTATCTTGCAACATTGGCCAACTCAAACAATACCAAAGATACATTTGATTTTGATTTTGTTGAATCACTTCTTAAAAACGGCGCGGATATCCACAGCACAGACAAGACTGGACAAACAATTTTTCATGAAATTGCCAGATCTTGGAATATTGATGTCGCAAAATTTCTCATAACGAAAGGTAATAGATGAAAATATGTCAAGAATGCACTCAGAATCTACATACCTCCGTCAGCGGCTTGTTTAATTAATATATTTCAGGATATATAGATTCATGTCCCGCTGAGTGAGCGGTTACTCGGTTAGGGTTAGGATCAGCATTCAGAAACAGCGAGACATGAATATATTACCAACATTTTCAATTATCGTACAGCATCTCAGCCTATTAGCAAATTGTGCATAAACTTTCACAAAGCAAAATATTCACACACTTTTATACGGGTGGAGAAAAAGTGCCAGTTTCCCAAGGAATACAGGTGTTAAGTTCTTTGTATGTTTGCATGGTGATAAAATATAATAGTTTTGTTTGTGGAAACACCACGTAAATTTATTACTGCAAAGCTTTCGATCCGTAAGCCCGGATCTTCATCAGTGCTAATAATATCATATTATTAGCACTGATGAAGATCCGGGCTTACGGATCGAAAGCTTTGCAATAATAAATTTACGTGGTGTTTGCACAAACAAAACTATTATAATACAGGTGTTCATCGAATTTATTAACATTGTAACGATTTATCGACTAATTTTTCTATTTAGCTGTTTAACATTTTGACAAATAAGTTGGCAGACAAATAAACAAACAAACCAACCAACAACACAACCTCGTACCCAGGGTATTTGCTCTTGGGGAGCGAAATACCCTGGTATGGCCTGGTCACGTGACCCGCGGATTTTGCGTAAAATGGCGTATTGTTTACTCGGGTCGGGGGCGTGAGTATACATTGTCACTCTTAGTAATTAAAATTTAAAAGCGTGATATAATTACTAGGAGTGACAATGTATACTCACTCCCCCGACCCTAGTAAACAATACGCCATTTTACGCAAAATCCGCGGGTCACGTGACCAGGCCATACCAGGGTATTTCGCTCCCCAAGAGCAAATACCCTGGGTACGAGGTTGCCAACAACAAACAAACCGAGGTGAAAACATAGCCTTCTGTTGGAGGTAATAAAAACACAAATTAGTGCTGGCTGCTGTTGTACTTAAAGTACAACTTAATATCTTTTTAACGATTTCCAACAGTACATCTGTGTAGTACATCTTCCGATCCATCATTGTTCTATTAGATTCAAGAATAGGCGCATTAAAATATTCAGTTTGTTTTAAATAGTTTACTTAAAAGCTTTCTCAACAACTTAATGATTGTGGATTTGTAAATTTTTCAATTAAACATGTGATGCAAGTTTCCGACACGGCGACATTCAATACAATCTATTTCTGCAGGTGCAAATGTGAACAAACAAGATCAGTATGGTCGATCACCACTTCACGTTGCTGCGGCAGTAGATTACGCTGAAATGGTAGAATTTCTTCTACAAAATGGGGCTGATATTGATATTAAAACAACTGGTGAAGGGCAGACTGCAGTACATTTTGCTGCTAAAAATGACGCAATCAACTCTCTTCAGATGTTGCTAGGATACGGAGCAGATATTGACGCACGTGACGGCAAAAACAGAACACCACTACAGGTGGGTGGGGAATGTTTGGCTCTGATCTTAAATTACTCTGAGCTTAATTCTTATCAAATCTCCAATAGTGTAAATTAACCGACTGCTATTTTTGACCAAAATCTGAAGTCCATACTTTCAATACACCATTCACCAATAACCATGGTTTGTATCACATTATACCCATCTGGATCTGCTGGTTTTAAATTAGATGCACAATCAGGCGCACACTTAGCGCCCGTCGAAGGCGGGAGATATTCTAGGGGGTAGACTAGAGTCTCTGAAATGCCATTTCCTGCACTTTAGAAGGAGATTACAGAGTTCTAAAGGTAACAAAATGTCATGAAATATCTCAAATTTTGTCTACACGCGTTTCTGAAATAATATCAATTAACTTCGTGGTTATTATTGACCATTGTTTAAAAGTGTATGGGAGGGGGGGGGGGGGACATTTAGTGCGGTTTTTGATAAAACAGTATTCCGTTTAAACACTAGAAAATGTAAACTCGATATTTGATTATCATTAGGTTGCTGCAGAGATGAATCGTTCTAAAGCTGCAAAGCTTCTCATCAACGAAGGTTCTCCAGCTGGTGTGTATGACAACTTGGGCAACTCTGCCTTGTGTCTTTTAATTGAGAAAATTCCCGAGGTGGCTCTCAAAGCAATGGATCAGTTTCATTCCGTAGACACAATCAATCGTAAAGAATTTTATTTTCTCAACTATCTGGAAGGCACGAAGTTAAAAGAACAGAAAACGCCTGCTCGAACTCCTCTTGAGATAGCTGTCCAGAATGAGAGGTTTGACATCATCATGCATCCCGTCATGCAACGCCTGATTGCTGTAAAGTGGAAAATGTACGGCAAATGGGGCGCGATCCAGGACCTGGTGATGAATCTCATGTACACCATATTATGGACGGTGCTTGCAGTCACCTTGCCAATACATGGAAGAGATTTGTATTTACCAATTGAAAAAAAATCCTGGAGACTAGTAATTGGCATATTACTGGTTATTTTCACAATATTGGAAATCAGAAAACAAATTATAGGTAAAAGTAATTACAATACCAACGTCTTTTTGTCATTTATTAAATAGCCAGGCAACTAGACAAATTACCATGTTTAATTTTTATCCATCTTTTTCTAACGTTATCTTATGAAGCCCAGTCAGATTCAGTGAGTAGATGAAGCCCCCCATATAGCGGCGGAAGTGACGTCAGCATTTTTCCTGTCATAGGACGTCAGCATTTTTAGGGATAAGAGTGACCTCATTTTTGGAACATTGTCGCATAACGTTTGTCGCGTGATCTTTTGGAATTTTGGGATGGCGTCAGCAAGTATTTGTCGCATAAACATTTGTCGCATAACGTTTATTGTAAAAAAATATGATCCTTGTATTAAGCGCTACAATACCAGTTCGAACCGGATTTAATATACTGTATAAATTGAGGTCTTCGAGTGTACAAGAGCGTAGTGTTTACACAGCTTTCGCAGAGGAAAAAAATATTTATTTTAAAATGGAAGGTTTATATGATAGGCATGATCTGTTTGCAGCAATGTCTATTTGATTTTTGGGCGAATTTGAGAGGAAATTTTTCAGGCTTCCAGGCTATTTTGAGCTACCTGATGTATTGGAGCGGAGAACATTGTGCATAAGGGCACTTTTAAGTGTAGTTTAAAGTTTTAAATTGTTTTTCAGAACAATATATAAAATGTCTTAGTTCATTACTTTGCTATAAAAATGTGTTTATACGTGTCTAGTTTTCAGCCGAGAAAACGTAAAGCATTCCAACCTCTCATTAAAGAGTGGTTTTAATTCGGAAAACAGGTAGCATAACACCAAAAACGTAGTAAAAATTTATTGAAGTTTATATACACAGCAAGAGATTTGTATCTATGTACGTCATAGACGATTGATGCAATGATTGTGGGACATTACGAATGAGCCTATACGCATGTGAACTGTGCAAATGATTTTAGAGCGAAATAATGTTGCTATGATACTGTTTTGCTTGCATAAATTAGGGGTTCCCCAAGGCTTCCCTCGGGGTACGTATACGTGTTCGTATTTTTCGCATTTTGGTTCGCTTTTTGCTTCGCATTTTTCGCATTTTGCTTCGCATTATTCGTATTTTGGTTCGCATTCTTCGCATTTTGCTTCGCATTCTTCGCATTAAGGCCCGACTAGGCCCGAAATGGCACTTTTTGGCCCGATTAGGCCCGAAGCCCGGTAGAAGGTACGGCTAAACTCTAATGTCCATTTTTCTACAAGGACTTATTGTTGCAATGAAACAAGGCACAATACAGTTTTAATAAATATTTATTTCACATAAACATTACATCGATTCATCACCATCTGAAAAACGTCCTTGATCTTCTAAAAGCTGTTTCAACAGAAACTTTCTTTTGTCAACCGCTGCAGATAAAGCTTCATCAGGATCAAACGAGTCTTCGTTCGCTAATGTCTCCTTCGTTTCCATAATCTTTCTATGCACAGCATCATTTTTAAGTGCATTCATCCATCGTAAATTATCCACGTAAACGTCAGCGAATTCTTTCTGAAGTTCAGGGAGAACGTTTTCAAAGGCTTTCTGCTTAGCTGCACTTTCTTCTTGCCCATCCATTTGCAACGTTTTCATAAATTCATCATACTCTGGTCGAACGGTCGCCTTTGCATCGTCAATCATGGTTGCCCAAGGATCAATCTCTTCCTTTATTTCACCATCATCTTCGGAATTCTCACTGTTTTCATCTTCCTCATTTTCCGTAACACTTTCTTCGTCTGGAAAAGAGTCCACACTTTGTTCATCTGAGTAGCTACTTCCTCCTCCATCCATCGAGGTATTATCGTCAATCTTTGCATATGCACAATGGCTCGCCTTATGTCGCCTGACATTATAATAGGACGAAAACTGTTTCAGACATCGATCACACTGGTAAGAAGCCAAATGAGAGCTTAGACCGTGGTTACTTATATAGTGGATATATGCTTGGTTTGCTTGTGGGACAATACAGGTGAAATAGTTTGAACGTCATTGAGGGTACGCATGCGCATTTTGTCTTAAGTACTTTTATTATGAAGGACTAACGGCTAGCTAGGCTGAGATGTTCCGGTGGCCTTTTTGGCCCGTATGGCCTTTTTGGCCCGTTTGGCCTTTTTGGCCCGTATGGCCTTTTTGGCCCGTATGGCCTTTTTGGGTCATACTATTCGTGCATCTGTTCCTCGAGTCGTAAATATGATCATCATGGCATCTTCTAAATTGTTTACATCGATCCTACGTCGACTTCCCATCAACCTTACATCCACCTCACCTTGACCTTACATCCACCTCACCTTCACCTCACATCGACTTTTTAGAGAGAAATAAATTAAGTGGCAGCACTCTCCCCCCTGGTGTCAGATAGGGTTAACAGGTTGTTTGGGTAGGTTAACCTATTGGGTTCTATCGGGCCAAAAAGTGCCATTTCGGGCCTAGTCGGGCCTTAATGCGAAGAATGCGAAGCAAAATGCGAATAATGCGAAGCAAAATGCGAATAATGCGAAGCAAAATGCGAAAAATGCGAAGCAAAATGCGAACCAAAATGCGAAAAATGCGAAGACGCGTGAGCAAAATGCGAAGACGCATACGTACCCCGAGGGAAGCCTTGGGGAACCCCTAATTTATGCAAGCAAAACAGTATCATAGCAACATTATTTCGCTCTAAAATCATTTGCACAGTTCACATGCGTATAGGCTCATTCGTAATGTCCCACAATCATTGCATCAATCGTCTATGACGTACATAGATACAAATCTCTTGCTGTGTATATAAACTGTTGATGATATTCACGAGTAATAGGTCTTTTAGCTCAATAAATTTTTACTACGTTTTTGGTGTTATGCTACCTGTTTTCCGAATTAAAACCACTCTTTAATGAGAGGTTGGAATGCTTTACGTTTTCTCGGCTGAAAATGAGACACGTATAAACACATTTTTATAGCAAAGTAATGAACTAAGACATTTTATATATTGTTCTGAAAAACAATTTAAAACTTTAAACTACACTTAAAAGTGCCCTTATGCACAATGTTCTCCGCTCCAATACATCAGGTAGCTCAAAATAGCCTGGAAGCCTGAAAAATGTCCTCTCAAATTCGCCCAAAAATCAAATAGACATTGCTGCAAACAGATCATGCCTATCATATAAACCTTCCATTTTAAAATAAATATTTTTTTCCTCTGCGAAAGCTGTGTAAACACTACGCTCTTGTACACTCGAAGACCTCAATTTATACAGTATATTAAATCCGGTTCGAACTGGTATTGTAGCGCTTAATACAAGGATCATATTTTTTTACAATAAACGTTATGCGACAAATGTTTATGCGACAAATACTTGCTGACGCCATCCCAAAATTCCAAAAGATCACGCGACAAACGTTATGCGACAATGTTCCAAAAATGAGGTCACTCTTATCCCTAAAAATGCTGACGTCCTATGACAGGAAAAATGCTGACGTCACTTCCGCCGCTATATGGGGGGCTTCATCTACTTCAGTGTCATCGGCGACATACTTAAGAGTTCTTAATTCATATGTGATAACCTTCATTATTGTCCGCACCTCCTGGGACTAAATAATAATTATATACTTCTTCACCTACACACACACACATCCCTTACACGTTCATAATATGTATTTATTTTTCAACAGAAGAGAAGATAAGCTTTCAACCAGATTTCAAATTAAGAAGTTCTTTCCTGTGAGAAAAGTATAACTTTCCGCCGCTGGACTAAATTACACTGATTACTAGAAGGGGAAATAAACTTTCGAAAGTAACATGCACACTCAGCTAAAAAAAAGCCAATAATAAGGTTTATTTTGACATGTACAAATTTCCCTAATGACAAGGTCCGAATATTTTCAGATTTTCAAAGTCGCTGAGTATTCATTGCATGACATTGAATTTTCCAGCGCTTTTGTTTTGCTTAAATCGAAATATTTGTGGGGAAATAAGGCTCAAATTGTAAATTTAGATAATTCTTTATTATGCTTCAGTCACCTAATATTTTCTCGGGCCTCGTAATTCTACCAACAAATCAAAAACTTTGCCGACTATGTCTTGAGATAATTTAGCAGCCATTAATATTAAGTACACATCAGCATGTACATTCTAAGCATGTTTAGTTAATATCGACGAGCTTGCTCATCTTGGCTCTCGATTTGTGGTCGCAATTTCTGATGGCTTCATGCCTGTCTACGTAGGCCTTAATTCGCGAAAGTTAAATGGCATAAATTATGATAAATTAAGGTATCGTAATGCAAGCTAAATCCTCTCTCCTCCGCAGAGCCTCCTTAAGTATTTACAATAACTTACATAAAGTTTCCTGAATAAAAGTGAGCGCGCGCGGCGTGATGGGAAGATTGAAATGAAGCCGGGAAGGCTCTGCCAGGTAATGCAACGAAGTATGGTTTTTGAACCAAACCAGTTGTTTGACCTTTTTTTAAACTTGAAAACGACGGAAATGTGGAAGAAATTTAAATAAATCTTCATTATCTGAGTATCGAAGTTCAGTAGAGTCATTTTTATAACGAAATGTTGCAATTTAGAGGATATTTATAATTAGATAGCTCATATCCATTTATATTCATTTGCAATTTCTCAATATTTTTCGGTGCAAATGGACAGAAGAAGATATTGATATTGGATTCATTCCAGGAGACTCAAGTACGCCTGAAAAGAAAAGTGGAAAACATGTTTTAACCCTCGAATTAAGCTTGATATCGAACCGAACTCCAAACGATTATATAAGACGATTGCATTAACTACACGCGTAAAAATCATCATGTTGATGCAAGTTGTTCAAAACAGGAACGAACAATGTTGTGCTGCACCCCGTGAACAATATTGTTAACAAGTTGTTGAACCATCAACATTGTTGCAACTTGTTGACAATCATGTTAACAACTTGCAACAGCACTGATGGTTGAACAACTTGTTAACAATATTGTTCACGGGGTGCAGCACAACATTGTTCGCTACTGTTTGAACAACGCCGAACAACCTGATCAATTTTTACCCGTGTAGCAGAGGCTTCCTTTATTTAGCTCTTCCCATCACTCCTTGCGCGCTCACCTTCCCCTCACTAGAAACTTCATGTAAGCCTCTGCGGAGGAGAAAGAGCTGAATCCAAATAGAACTTTAACATTCAACTTTTTTTTCGTTCAGACACAATTAAAACCAGACGAAATCTAAAAAAATGGAAGGAATGGCGAGCTGCTGAATTAGCAAGAGATCTTACGTATTGTCATCCGAGGTGGCCTCAAGAAACACAGTACCTGCAATCTGAGATTAAAGCAGTCAGACACTTGTCGCTTATCTCAGGATCTGATTGGTGGATATATTTTGATTGGGTAGCACTGGTGTTCATCCTGGCAACTATTGCATCCCACGTGACCTTCTTTCACTATAGCACTGACTTATCCAAAGAGGTCCATCACTACATCATAATGCCACTCCTCATGATAGTTTGGTTCAGAATTTTGAAGTATGCTAGACCTTTTGAAAGTGCCGGTCCTTTTGTAGTTATCTTTGGCAGTGTGACGGGCGACATCGTAAAGTGGGGATTTTTGAACTTGATTATCTTAATACCATTCACCTGCGCATTTTGGTTAACATTTGGTGCAATTTCCTTGCACCCTGTTCCCGGTTACGACAACGTTGGCCCATTGTTATACAATATGTTTTCGATGATGGTTGTTAATGATCATGGTTATGACAATTTAGAAGCAACAAATCCAGTCATGGCGAGGTTGTTGTGTGGTGCTTTCATCGGGATTGCTGCAATAGTCACCCTAAATCTACTCATTGCTCTACTTTCGAACACATTCGAAAGATTGTACGAGAAGGCAGTTGAGAACGCCGTTATGCAGAGAGCTCGCACAATCCTATTGCTGCAGAAATCTTTGAGACGAAAACAAAAGTTAAAGTATTATGGTTTTATCAGAAAGAAGGGAAGTCCTGAAGTGATTCGAAACGATCTTGGACGATTGTTATCCACAGAAACAGATGATAATGCGAGTCTAGAACAGGTCCAGGAGGATATAAGGTAAGAATTGCATGTTAGCAATTTTGTAGTAAAGGTTATACATGTAGCTGTATAATATTGTTTCTGTCACGGACGTCAAGAAGGCTTATACTGGAACACAAGATTGATTGAAACCAATTGAAGTTATATTATAAAAAATGGAATTCCAAAAGAACTGGGGAGAGTTTACTGGGAACTTCGAGGAGCAGAAAAGTCGGTAAAACATTTATAAGCGTGAACGACTGTGTTCGTGGCAGAACCACCATGATGTGTACATCCTCCTCCAAATAACGATTTTGAGTTAAAAACTGAAATTATAAGCGCATTTCCATTTCTAGACACATGAAATTATGTACAGAATAATAGAATTAAGAAGCGTGTAGTAAAATTACTTTTTTATTCATCGATATTTAGATTTATAATGAAGGTCCTTGGGGAGAGATTTGGTAAAAAATATGGTAAAGGGAAGAAGTCTGACATGGATTTTGTGAAAATGGATCTAAGCAAAGTAAGACGTTTCCAGGAAGAACTTGTGGTAGATGTCCGGAATATGAAACTCATGATACAAGGAATTACTGAGATGATGGAAACACTGCAAACAAAAAATAATACAACTCCAGATCATGTTGTTAACGACGGCGACAAGAATGATGAAAACGTGAACAATAATCAAAATAGTACAAACAACAACATCAACAACAGCGACAACAAAACAGAAAGCTCATTTGCAACTCCAAAAATTTTCACGATTCCCTATTCAATGAGCGATAACAAAAAAATCCAACGAGTGCAAAAGAAAACCAAGAATTCAAAAGAGAGTTCAAGTGACTCAGACAGCGAAACTTCCAGTACAAGTTCGCAAGATTCCAGTGATGAAAATAACCACAAAAGTAAAAAGAATCAGAAACGCAATAAAAACAAAAAGAAAAGTGGACACAAAGACAGAAAAGAAACAGCTAGCGATGGGAGCAAACATGATAAAACTGAAAGATTACCGTATCCTGGTCCATCATTGACAAATCCGATGGACGATTTCAGACAAAACAACAATGTTTATCCTCCAAGCTCAAGGTAGGTGAACTCATGTTTAATTATGTACAGTAGAGAGACAAAGCTGCAGCGACGAGTCACGTTTTAGGTGGAGTTACTATTTTTAGACTTTTCGGGTTAGGATTAGGAAAAGCGTTAGGATTAGGCTTGATTAGGATTAAGTTCAAAATACAAAAGAATACAAAATTACAAAAGTTTAAAAATAGTAATACCCCTAAAACGTGACAGGTATAAGCTGCAGATACAAAGTTTCACGCTACAGGTATAGTGTTTCACAGGTTCATGATAATTATACTAGTCATATTCATGCAGCTAGTTTTCCTGTCTGGTGGTAAATTGTCTGCATAAGTGAACAGACTATAGCGCTGACTATAACCTTAGTAAATTAACTACAAATAGACAAAATGGAAATAACAGGGACCGGACGAACCGGTCTACTGTTTAACTAAAAATCATACTGATGCAGGGCTTAAAAATCCAACAAAAAAGTTTACTTATCAAATGAAACATTCCTTGTTGGCAAGAGGGAACACAGCATCAAGTCTTGGTATGACTTAAAATTAAGTTACCATTTTTAACAAAGAAATATCTTTTAGATGACAAGAAACGCTAAATTATCAAGCATGCAGTTATAATTATTCATAATATTACTAAAAAGGTATTCATTGAGTTTTACCCTTTGTACTTTAGATTATCGACGTCAGCTAGCTACCCAGAATTGCAGCTAGTGCACGATCATATTCCACTCATTTCCCACGGGTACTCCGCTATCCCTGCAAGAAGTCCATATCTCAGCACCAACAGACGAATTTTCAACCCTGCGATAACTTCACCTTCGCCCTACGACAGTCCACTTTTAGGACAAGATAGGAGATTTGCACCGCAGATCCAACAAAGGCAAAACGGTTTCACAAATTATGGCTTTCAAAACCAAGATGTTCATAACCAACCTGCAACCAACGTGCAGTATTACACAAATATACCTCCACAATCATTACATGTACCTATAACCAAACTACCAACGTCATTAAGTGACACAGCAATACATGGATCTACCCAACACAATCAACATCCATATGCATATCAACCGGAAGTACGGAATACGACAAGTCACGTGTTATCGCACGTGACAGGATTTCAACCAGAGCATGAAGTATTTCACGAACCAAGTCCTACACAAGCAAGTTGGGTAAACTCCTCAGGTTTAAGTGAAAGAAACCACGATCTTTTCTTCCCAATACCTCGAGCAAGCGTGCCTAGTGATCAACAATCGCACAGTACAACATCAGAAGTCGCGCATGGTCAAACTAACCCAGTGATTTATTCGCCAGACAACTCAAGTGAAATATAACGGATTTAAATACTTTACTGCACAGATCATGCAACTCACAAAATGCATGAAAAGAGTCTCAAGAATTTAGACTACATGCGTATAATTAACAGTGCAATAATATAATGTAACAAAATTGCCTGCAGACTTTCAAAATCAAATGAAAGTTTGTCTCATAAAATTGAACATATCGTCATGAAACTGAATTAATTTTCTTACCAATACTGTGCAAAATAAAATTCCTCACCTCCAAAGAGTACCCTGCGAATAAAAGCCCCCTTCGAACTGTCTTATTCCTGAATTAAATAGGGGGTTGGATATTGTTTGAAGGTTGCAAACAGCAAATTTTCAATACATATTTTCCTACGTCTAATTTTTTATGCAAACGATTTCAAAATTGTATATAATTTTGCACGCCATGACATAGCCATTGTTATGCATGCTGCTTGCATATAAGGTGTGGAGTGAACAAGTGCTTGATATTCTGAGACTATGAGAAGAACTATATGAGTTATCAAGAATAGTATAAATTGTTATTCAACGTTTAGGTAGCACATATTCAAGTTTAATTATGTTGCCATCTTTGACTTGAATACTATGCATGATATGCTATTTAAAGAGTTTTCTGATTTCTATTTCTGAAAAATAGATATTGAACGTACTGTATTGAAAGTTCAAGTATTTAGTAATTATTTATATTTTGATATGTTTAGTGTGACTATCATACTAGAATTAAATTTGTTAATTTCTATTTTAATATTGAATAAACATGTAATTTTCCTCTATGACAGCTATGTAATTCATAATAATTATAATAAACTTTATTAAAGTGTCTAAACGATTTAGCATTACAAAATTAATGAACTATAATTGGGGACACTAGTCTTGTTTTTAGTCTAGCCACAGTTTAGTGTCATCTAATAAGTGTTGAGAGTCATCATTCGTACAGGTACTGTATGGAACGTAGCCCATTATTTCGAGCTTATTGTATTTGGGTTGTTTTGAGCGATGCACGCTCAGTAAATCAGAAGCTAATATAGTTGGCACTGGATATTGCTGTGAGATTTTTAAAAAAGAGACGATACCGAAGCAATGTATTTCCCTTTTTCTCGAAACAAACAGCACATCGTGTACATGCAGCATAAACTAGATAGCATATATAAATGTATATAACCTGAAGAGGCAAACACGTGCTGAAAGAATATTCTATGTCGGTTTATATAAAATATACACACACTGTGTACTGTGCACAAAAGGCATAAACGTTTTGGTTACAAAATTGTAACATTTTTAATTTTTGTTTCAAGAAAAGAACATAAATAGCACAAGATGAAAGAAACAAGGAAAGAACATAAACTAAAAATAAAATAATCTAATCTGCTAAATGAGAACATGAAAGGATATGGCCATACACCTTTCAATTCAAACACAATCCATATGAAAGTCAAATATACAAAAGCAACAAAACCAACAAACTTAATACCAGTATGGGCAATGGTTTTACAATTTCTTTCTTCTTTTGCATTTGGAAAGTTACTGGCGAAAACATTAGCCGCAACCAAGGCTAAAAATAATGGAAATGTATGTAGCATATGGTTGAGAGATGATGGCATGCCCGCTGTCTCTGGGAGAATCATTTCACGATCAATATAAAACAATAACCAAAATGCAAATTGAGTAAATGAGCTCATCACGATGGCTAAATGAATAAATAATCCAAGAAAACCTTCATTATTTAGAACAATATGTAACATCCTCGTGGAACTGTCCCCATGTTTTGTTGCCTGGTTATCAAATATTTTTCCAACATCATGAGCTACTAAGGCGAGGAACATTACTAGATGAAACACAGTGGTCCAGACAGTGAAAAAACTTGCCATTTCCAAAATTTTAAGACCAATTGTGAACATTAACCAGTGTAGAACGTACAAATGAAAGACTGCACAACATCCATGAAATGTTAGGGACAACATAGCTTTCATCTTTACCATACTTCACATAGAAATGTAGGCAGAATTGCTGCAAAAAAATTAAACATACAAGTCAAGAACAAGTAAGTTTCGTCAACAATAATTTTCTCATGTAACACATGACTAAAACATCTACCGGTACCCAAATACAACCTTAGCAAAACGGTAATAGAATATTTGGGTCGAGCATAATGAGGATTGTATGACTCCAGGGGTGTGAGAGGGTGGGGATGAGCTGTATTTAGCTAAATTTACCATTAACAAATGTTTTCTATATAATTATACTAATGGTAGCCTGTGTACAGACGTTACTCTCGACGAAGCGCGCGAGAGAACGTCTGTGAGTTGGATGAAGATTCCTTGTTCTGGTAACGTGGATTTTTCCCAGATTTGTGGAAAGGCCTCTGATTGGACAGTGCTTTATTTGAATAATATATGACAAATGAAGGTATTTCATTGGTTAATTGATAATTAGCATGCATGCATTAAACAACACAATAATTTTAAATTCAGAGATTTCTTCAAGAATGAAGATTTCCTTCGGGGCATACAAAGGTTTGAAAGAAATATAATCTGTTGTGTTTAATTTTGTGCTGTATCGATGTTAAGAAAATCAAGATAAAATTATATATTATATATATTGTGGTTTCCCACGTTTACGATTCCACTCGTGTAATGTTATGTAGCGGTTTTTGAGTTGTTTTCAGACGAGTGTATGCCAAACCGGGCAAGCAGAAAATTCTACTTGACCGCGGCTGGGATGCTGCTTGCCCGGTTTGGCATACACTCATCTGAAAACAACTCAAAAACCGCTATATATATATATATATATATATATATATATATATATATATATATATATATATATATATATATATATATATATATATATATATATATATAGCATACATCATTACATGCATGTAAAAAGGACTATATAAAAGCAAAGCACTGGCATGATGCCAAGAAAAATGGTGACCTGAAATCAGTTTACTTAAAATAATTAATTTAGCTCAAATAAAAGCCCTATATATTTTCTGGTAATTGTACAAAACATGTTTATACTGCAAATAATTATGGTTAAACGTACAGGGCACCATATCTTTCGTTGTGATGAATTAAGGCCATGTAAAAAAAATATCCAGGTTTATCATCAGCGCCCGCATCCATTTTCCGTGCCACATGGAATTTTTATTTTTCATTTTTAAAAAATCACTATTTCTGGCGGACCATGCAAGGAACCCATGTGAGATTTTCACAATGGTCGGCCATTTTCAAAACAGGATTTCATATTGACAATGTGTCATGATATTGTGCTTACTTGGGCCTTGGCAATTGTAATATTAATGAAAAGTGTAATAGCATTGAAAGTATTATACCATACAACTGTGCTGCATGTTTGAGCATATTTTTTCCGTGCACCTACTAAATTTGGTAAAAATTTTTAAAAAAATTTGCCTGTCCGCATTGGTTTTTTCTCCTGCCACTGATGATAAGGCGTAAAAAAATACCTGTGGTTCCGGTTTCATATCGCGAAAAAATTAGGGTCGTTAGGTCATGGTTTTTTCAATAATGGGTCATTCCAGAAAAGATCCACATTCCCCCCACGGAGGAAATTTCTGCCGTCCGGAGGGGGAGGGGAGAAAAAATTGTTTCTGATAAGAGGAAATGTATTAGGACATCCAAAGGGGGTAGGGGTGTTAACATCCAATTTCCTCTGTGGGGGTGGTATGGATGTTTTCTGGAATGATCCAATTAGTGTGACAACAGACGCCATTTTGGCAGCAGCCCGCAACCACCCAGAGAAAATAGGGTCGCACGGTCAATCACGTTGAAAAAATAGTAGGGTCGGCAGAAAAAAATAGGGTCGGTCAGGGACCAGAACCACAGGTATTTTTTTACGCCTAAACCGGGATATTTTTTTACATGGCCTAAGATACAGTGTCTCAAACTTTATCAATGATACAGTATCGCCATGTTCCCAATGAGGATAAACTCATTTCAGTCCACTTTTGTTCCAGCTGAGCGTTAAAGTCCTGGTTACATAATCCTCTTGAATTATAGATTCGTTATTTACCCTGTATCCCAGCCAGATGATCTTGATACGCGGAAAAGTACTGGCATTAGTTGTCAAATAGAAATCCATTTTATGATTAAAACAACTGAATATCTCCTGTAATATACTTTATTTTGATTCCATATTTTTGTCAGAGCTATAGTTCTCATGAGCAAACATAATTACAAAATTTCAACTAGTTTCATAAAGAATAACGAAAGATATAATTGACTGAGTACATCAAAATGGATTTCTATTCGGACAACCCTTTCTGAACGCTGATTGGCTAAAATACGAACACGAGATCACCTGGAGGGGAAAGGCTACATTAAATACGCATTAATCCACGGCCCTGTCCCCGTTAATTCCCCGCTCTGTCCCAGGGGTTGGGGTTTCAATTGACTAGTGCTTAATGCACTGTGTATTAGGCATAAAAAAAAAATACCTGTGGTTCCGGTTCCCAACCGACCCTATTTTTTTTCTGCCGACCCTATTTTTTTTTCAACGCGATTGACCGTGCGACCCTATTTTCTCCAGGTGGTTGCGGGCTGCTCATACAGCGTGCCAAAATGGCGTCTGTTGTCACACTAATTATTGAACCAAATTGCCTAAATTCGTCCATAGGAAATACGCATCTCTAGTTAATATTGATGTCGGGACTCTACTGCAAATCGCCCAGCAGAAAACCGCCAAAACCATGAAAAAAATATTAAAAAAAAAAATTTATTTCCGACCTACCGACCCTAATTTTTTCACGATATGAAACCGGAACCACAGGTATTTTTTTTTACGCCTTAGACTTAATATTTGCCTAATGCAAGTTTGTGCACTAAAAACCATGAAATGTTTAATGTTGGGTTCACTTCCCACCAAAATGTGTCAGCTAGATTCAAGCCTGCTGTATTTACCAACTGGATAGCGACATACTGGTGACCAGTGACCACTTTGTACCAAAAATACCTCGAGCCAAAGGGTGTCAAGAAAAGCTTGTCAAATACTCAAATGACCGTGAATGAATCAACATAGTTGCCAAATTAGGGGTCTCACGATTTTATTATATTGTTAAATTTATACAAACGTTTTTATTTTTACTTTGTTGATTGAATACTTACCTTTTGAAATAAGTTTTTACTTTATTGAATTTACTGAACAACCTCGATATAAAACCATATAAAACCACTGTATAAAACCAACCACTGAATCAGTGCTTCCATTTTCAAAATAAAAATTTCCCATTTTTGACATCAAAATTTCTCTAAATTCCTCAGATTGTATACATAATTTCCTTGAAATTTCCTTGAAATTTCATTAAGCAGTTTGCAGTGATTTTGTACCAATACAAAGGATATAGTTAATTTTAAGGGCACAAAATAGCACATTTAAGTGATTCAACACATATGTGGGCTAGGTAAAAACACAGTCTATTATACTGTTTAATATTTGTTATGATTTTACAACATATACGATTCCCCTGATATAATTAACTATTCACAGTGTTTGGCGCCAAAAGTTACTAAATCCCATCGCTCAAAAACTTTCGGAAGTTTTCGGAAACACGAAGAAAAACGTATAAACAGATTTTTAATTAACATAAGGCCACATAAAAAAAAATAGTTGGTTAGCGTCCCCGCCCGCCCACAAAAAAGGCCCCGCTCAGGATTTTTTTTTATTTTTTATTTTAAAATACCCCGATTTTTATTGATCAACGGGCTCTAATATATGTAGTATTTCTGTTGACTGTAGTCAATTGTGTTAATAATTTGCGAAATTGCGTGCGAAAATGACGGTATGAATTATATTTTGAAATATATAAAAAATATCTGTACTGCGCAAGAAAATCCAGTTTCGGACCTAACAGTGAGTAAAACCAAGGCGTTAAAAATTAGTAAAAATTAAAAAAAAAGCGCCCGCCCGCCCACTTTTTGGCAAAAGCTAAGGACGCTAACCAACTAGTTTTTTTTATATGGCCTAATTGATAAATAATGCAGAGTAAATAATGATAATTCACTCAAAAATGTAAAAAAATAGTGAAACCTTCTTCTGCACCAATGCACTGGGATGAATATTTAAGTTTTTCGGAAAAAATCCTTAGATTTCCTTAGATTTTTTCTCTTCCTTAGATTTTCCTTTTGGACCATAGAATTTCCTTAGAAAAGGAAATTTCCTTGAAAATGGAAGCACTGCACTGAATCACTGATATTGGTGAGCCCGTTGAATACTGGACAGCGGCTGTATTTATTTGTGCAGAGCGTCATGTTATAAGTGGTTATAACATGAGATTCGTGAGTTGTGATTTGAAGTTTTTGTTTTCATGTTTCGTTATAGAGATTTTTTCCGAATAATTGAACCAATCAATGTTGTTAATGCGACAACTGAACAAAAATGCTGCAACTAATTGCAACAAAAACTGATTTCAACGAATGTTAATATGCTTGTGTGATGTTACTCTGAGACTGAGTGTATATCCACACCGGGCAGGCTTAAAAAATATGCCTGGCCACGGTGGGAATCGAACCTACGACCTTTGGAATACTAGCCCATAATTCACGAGGAACTGATACAAAAGAAATGAATATCTCCTCAATGTTTGTAAATCGGATAAAGATTTGTCCTGTTTACATAAACTTCAGCTTTGTCCTTTGATGTTTATTTTTAAAATTACTTCGCCAATCAATCTCGTTCCCCGAGCCTGCGATCCTCGGGAAGGAACGCGAGGCTCTGCTCTGGGATAATCCGTTGCCGGAAGCCAGGAATTCTGGCTAAGATTGAACTGCGCATTCCATTTCAACGGCCAATCAGATTCCTCCCTGAAACGGATTATCCCAGAGCCTCGCGTTCCTTCCCGAGGATCGCAGGCTCGGGGAACGAGATTGTTCGCCAATGAACTCATAAGATGGGTCGTTTTTTAACGGCACGTTAAAACATTCGCATCCGATCTTTATCTGATATACAAACTCTCGCCTTCGGCTCGAGTTTGTATATCAGATAAAGCTCGGCTGCTCATATTTTAACTAGTACTTATTAACACGTAGTTATAAAATTTACACACATTTATATTTTTAATAGTGCGAAATAGCGTGAGGGCTGGATAATAAAAGGAAAGTTTTTCGCGGCGAATGTTTTCGCTAACCAATCATATTGCCGAAATTTGTTTTTCACTTTCGTCTTCGCTTCGCGAGAACAAATTCGCCTATATATACTGGCTATACAACTAACCTAATAACCTGTCCCTAAAAACTAGGGTTTCACTATTAGTCTATTCCTGGTGGCGTTTGATGTGCACTTCGCCGGGGAAGGTGGATCAGGAGCCTCGAGGGACATTATATTAGAACTAGAATTGTTTGTATTGCTCTTAGTGTTGGTCAGTTTTGAATTTATCATTGATCATCAGGTTGCAAGTCAGAGATGGATAGTGTAGAGTTTTATTTTTTATTATCATGCATGGTTACAGATTGATGGTCAAGTCAGTTTCCAGTTTGTTTAGGACGAAAGGTTTGCGGAATAAATCAGGAGTTTTCAGGACTGATATTTTAAATTGGCATGCTGTTCATTGATCATCAGTATCTATTATATTTTTGGTGTGTGTGAAAAGATTTAGATTTACCATGCAGCAGGTAGGACAGTTTAGTGCATGGATGTAAAATAAATCGATACGCGGTCTAATACGAAGAATTGAGCAATTGTGAATGAACGTGAAATATTAACAATTTTCATATAATTTTGCTAACAAATTGGCCGGCCTAACTTATCGAAACAAAATAAATTTAAAACAATTAACATTTTGCGATAACTGTATGATAAGCATAACGTGTTATTAAATTTTAATTGAACCGAGACTGATTGCATGTAAGCTGATATTGAAGTCCAATTTGTGCCTATCAAACCAAATCATTTTGCTTCAAAGCAGGATACCCCAAGAAATAAATCATTCTATAAGTTGTAACATTGTTTCCGACGCGTTTATCATGATTAATTTCCGTGAGACTCATTAGCCATTCTACGCCGGGTCATTGATTAGGAATTTAAATTTAATTGCAGTTATCAAAAAGTGTTGCCATTGGCATTGCATGCAGGACTTTTGTCAGTTTTGGATGTAATGTACAATTATATTAACATGCATGCCTTTTGCTCAGGAGACAACGGAGATACGACACTCGACATAGCAGGTATATATATTTTATATGACTATAATATACGCATGTTCTTGTTCATGCATAAAAATGCTGTATTATGGTTACTACTGCGGAGGTCGCGTCCGTGTGTTACATAAGTCCGAAACCATCTTTTATAGTTCTCGTTTAAAAAACGAACTGCAAACAAAATAGTGTTTTTTTCGCATTTAACTCCATATATATGACTTACTACTTCAATGCTCTCTATGACTATGTTTATGTATAGTTTTTTTTATCTTTCCAATTACAGTGAACTTAAAGTTTCAACTGTTTTGAATGTCTATAGGGATTTTTTTAAAAACAAAAACGATGTTTTCTCGCCACCATGCATGAACAGATCTGAGATGTCTCCATATCTAAATCTTTTTGTTGCATCAAATGCTATGACTGTGCCAAATTTAGTGCTTTCTTCAAAAAGTGCATGATTTTACCAAACACTAGTGCATCTCCGCTGGACTAAAAGGCTTTTATAAACATGAATTTTGTCGAAGACAAACTTGATATTTCTAGTATAAATTTAATCTGTGACGGTGTCTTGGCAATGTTTGGCCTTTGGGTAAGTGGTAAATATTTCAGAATTCAGTGGTCAATTTCATTCGCATGTGCGAAGTTCTTATAATTTTAAGCCAAATCTCAATAGCTACTACAATATAGACAATAATATGTTTTTATGCGAACTTGTAATTACATGAAATTGCAGTGATTATACGAAATTGCATGCAGTAATTATATGAAATTGCAGCAATTATATGAAATTGCAGTGATAATTATTGTTCAAGTGCGTTGTACGAATCACGGTTTATAGCAGAATAAGGAGAAAATCGGATTTTCCTATTGCAAGTTTATTTTAGCATACCGTTGTTCATGGTTGGATTGTCCTTTTTCAGTCGTTGCTAGATTATTCTTTTTGTTTTTATCGACTAGCCTTTCGACAATTCATGATAAGCAGCGACTGTCTGTCGTGAGTTGTGTTATCTGGTTTTAAAGCCGTGACTCAGTTCACATTTGTCTTGTTCTTATATAGATGTCCCAGAAAGCAAATAATGCAACTTGGAATTACATTTGTCCATCTGTAGTCGTTTGTGCCACACGTTTGAATTGAAGGTTGATACCAGTTTAGATTCAATAATGGAAATCATTGTAGTTGCAAAAATATTGTTCGTATTAATCCTCTTCTCTCTGGCGAGTCTGCCGTGTTCAGTTTTATCTGGAATTAATTACAGTCTGTCTTCATCAAGGCAACCAAGTATTTCTGCAAATATTCGAAACTCATCGAATCAGTCTTTTCGTCCTCTGAACACACTGCAAACTTCAGAAATTGGCAAAAGCAGTAGTAACAGCTCTGTCGCACCTACGTCAATAAAGCAGAAAAAAATCGTCTCGTCCATGCATGATTATCTGCATCGCGCAATAAATAAAAGTAGTAAAACACAAACGTTTCATAAACCAGTGAAAACTGAGAATTTTAATAGCGAATCCTTGAAAACCTCGCCAAGCATCACGATAATACAGTCACCTACCCCGCTGGATAGAGATAAAATAGACAAAGACACCACACCTATGTATGTCAAGGATTCTCCAACTTTCTATAACAAAGATATTCCCACTTTCTTTGTCAAAGACACGCCATTTATATATGTCAAAGATACTCCACCTATCTATGCCAAAAACAAGGAAAAAGCAACGACGACAAACTCTGCACCAACATACACGAAGGACAAAGACGAGAAGCTGTTTTCCATACCATTCCAAATTTTGATACCAAAACCAACACGTCCACAATGTTCCAAGGGTATGAGTTGCAAAGGTCGCTGTGGTTTTCAGAGACAATTTGGTGATAAGTGGTCTTGCTTTTGCGACCCAGATTGCAACATGCTATTCGAGGATTGCTGCGAAGATTTTGATGAATATTGCAACACAACTTTCATGCAAGAACACAAGGTGATAAATGAGTTTGAGAAGCGTTGGAATTGCACGACACTGTACCATGATGATTCGCCTATCTGGGTTATCGGACAATGTCAACCAGGCTGGAACGATGTTGATGTTTTACGACGATGCACCGAGAAAAACACGAAGTCGAAGATCATTTCCCAACTAATTCCAGTTATTGATCAATATCATAACACATTTTTGAACCGTTATTGTGCAATATGCAACAATGTCACATCGTTCAGCCAATGGGAGTTTGAGGTATATTGTGACGTCATACCTCCCGCAGGGTACACAGAAGCACAATGGGCCACGTTCTTGGATTTATTCTGCATCAAAGACTCGTTTACTCTCAAACAAACCTGGGGTAAAAGATATTGTGTTATTGTGCATTCGGATTGTTCTTATAAAGACAGTGAAGAAGCTGTTAAAGGCTGTCGATTTGGACCAACGGGTTTAATAACACACCTATCAAAAAATATACATTATCGAAATTGGGATTGTTTATTGTGCAATTCCTTGATTTATGCTATGCTTCCTCCTTTTCCGGTATGTGGGCCAAGGCCCCCGATGAGTAAGTATCAATCATTTACATGGAGTAAAATTGTTCCATATAGTGCAATCTTCCGCGCGTCTTCTTTACCGATCCCTCAGTGTCCGCAAGAACAACTCTACGACGACACGTTCGGAGAATGCAAACCCTTTCTTTCAAGAAATGACCTCAACGTTGGAGAAGTTTTGAAAAGATATGTTGTCATCTTAGAGTACAAAGAACACTCAAATAGTTGTGGTATATCTTTATCTACGGGATCAGAGAGTGCTAACTTGATGATGATGAGGCTCGGAGATGTCTTTCCAAAACTTTTGGGAATTAGCTTAATGGAACGAGATTCGAGATTAGTGGATTTTAAAATTCAACCACTGGATAATTCCAGTTATCGTGTGATCTTTCAGCTGCTAGAGAACTCCGAGGAAAATGACCTAGTAGAGAGTATTATTGGGCATGAACTTAAGCTTCAAAATCTCGCCTTTCATTCGCGCAGTTTTACCAGATCCAGAGGACTTTGCACATACTACATAAATACATGCATCGTTCACAAAATGATATGTGCTGAAAACGAAACATTCTCTGTTAATGAAATTGAAATATATGCAAACAATAGTGCATTTATTATCAAAACAGGAAAACTTTACAGCGATAAGGAGTACTTCGTGTTCAAAAATGAAAAACGTTTGGCTTTATGTAAAGATTACTGGCCTGGAAATTGTTCCTATTATATTGAAGTAAAGAATGAATCTAATTGGTCCCTTTTTGAGAATGGCTCTGTTCATACGGATGTGACAAAAGCTCCATGGTTGCATTATGGGGAATATACCATAGTTGATGGCGTATTAAGGTTTTGTTCAAGGTTTCCGAACGCAATATTTAGTACTACAACCTCGATACATGAAACCGTTTTGTCTTATGCGACCATAGTTTGTCTGTCAATGTCTATCATAAGCCTAGCTGCACTTTTAATTGTGTATTTACTTTTCCCCGCCTTGCGAAATATTCCTGGGAAAAATCTGATGTTGTTCAGTGGCATACTTGCTTCTAGTCAAGTATTATGGTTGCTTCAACAATATATAGCTTCTTTATCTTCCACCCTCTGTGTCGCAACAGCCTTCGCCTTGCAATATTTTCTCTTGGCTTCCTTTTCATGCTCAACATCCATTGCATTTCACTCGTTTCTGACTTTCCTCAACATTGCAAAAGGAAAGTTAACGCAATCTTCTGGGAAAACGTTTTTGCACTATGTATTGTATAGCCTAGGTTTTCCTCTGCTCTTACTCTTAATGTGCTGGCTTCTGTATTATCATAATCTCCTTACAATTGTGCACTATCAACATGTCTGTTGGTTTAAGCACGACTTAAGTATTTATATTGCATTTCATATTCCCGCTTTCACCATGCTTTTACTTAATTTCATCCTCCTTTCGAAAACCATGATGTTTCTCCGGGATTGTACGAAAGAACGCCGAAACCTGGCGGGAAAAACCGGCGCTCCAACAAGAATACAGATTGGAATATACCTTCGGTTGTCGACTATAATGGGAGCCACTTGGTTATTTGGTGTTTTCATAGTGATATTTCCAGATGTTGTTGCTTTGGAATATTTGTTTGTGTTTATCGATGGTTTACAAGGGCTTTATGTCGCCTTAGCATTTCTCTTTACTGACAATGTAAAGAAATTTATTATAAGAAGAAAGGATAGAGGAGCCACAACTGGCAAGAGTAATGCCATGCATTCTACTCTGGCTTCAACAACAATGTAACATTCCAAACTATGATTATTATCTTGAAGCATCTTGTATAAAGTCAAGCTCAAACGATTTTTCTGATAGACTACGAAAAACGGTAGACGATTTTACCATCCAGCTACTGTATGCCTCAGTGTTTCCCCAAGGAAACAGCCATCCTCATAAACAACCTCGTTAGCAAACCCACATGACCCTTAACTGAAAACAATACAAAGTTGCAAATTGCGAGGCTTAAATTCAATTAATTGGATGACTATATATAACACCATAATTATAAAATATAATTTGTCACGATCATTTGATTCAATGGTCATGCTCGTAGACATTTAACATCACACATTTTGAACAATGTTAAGATTTACTAATACAGATCGCAAGTTCAATGATAAAAATGCATTGTCAGAATCATGTTGTCTGAGCAGTTCTTGCATCACTGGAACAAGTTGAAAGGCTTCAAAATAACGCCGGTTACTCCTAAAGAATAGAGAAACGTGAGCTAAAAAAGTTTAAAGAACTACTGAGATTTCTAGCAACAAAAGTGGTCATATGATGGCAACCTAAATTCTGCCCCCCCCCCCTCAATATTTCACCACTGGTTGATTGGGTGACATATCTGATATCTGCATTGTCGAAGTTTGTAGTCCCTGTCATAAACTAAACCACTTTTAACTGTCATCTGCAATAAAATCTATCCGTATATATTTATTCATATACAATATTTATATTGATTATTATTCACCTTATTTTTGACAGTCTTTGTAAAATAATGCTCAGTTTTTCCAAGATTTTAAGTTCTAGTCCTTTTTCTTGAAGCAAATTCGTACAAACATTGAAAAAGTCGCTGGTACTGCAGCGTGTTAGAAATTCAGCAACAACATCTAGAATAGAGCATAAATATATCTTACTGTTCTTTAAATTATGACACCACAGCAAAAAAACACACACACACACACACACAAGTAAAACACACCGGATTCCATGGACATTTGCAATGTAACATCGACAGCGAATTCCAAGAGAACCTATATAAGGGGGGATGACTTAGTGGATTCTTTTTAATAAAACGCCTGTCGCTTTAATGGGTTTAACTCATTTATTTAGTTGCGTCTCGTATCATCATGCATGTACGATTCAGAACGCCATTGAATTTCCAGATAGGATAAGATGGGATCACATTAAGTAATATTTAAGTGTTTAGTCTTCTCTCAAATACCATCATGGTAAATGGTGAACAATGATGCACGGGTGTATTTACTGTGGGTCAATGCATGTTCATAACCTGACTATTTGACGTGTAAAATCGTACTTTATTTTTTGGCTTCATAAATGGTAGGATGACTTGAACACCATTATGGAGTATGAAGAGTCGTTTACTCTGAAGAAAGAAAATATTAGTCTACAACTAAGAAATCTTTACTGTTTACTCTAAACCAAAAAGTGAGCAGATTGAATGGAGGTATTTGCAGTATATACATTGTATCTATGAACTTGTTAACACGAGCCCAGGTTCCAAAAATGTTCTGTATATATGTAGCTATGTTTACTTGAGCAGACATATTACGTGGCATAAAAATAATGGATAATTCGATACAATACAATAGTAACTCGGAAAACCGGAAAAGGCCGGTAAACATTTTGAAGTGTTTATTCGACTAGATTTTAGTCATCATCATGATTTTCCTGACTAAAATCTAGTCGAAACGTCGAATAAACACTTTTCAAAATGTTTACCGTTTTCGGAGTTGTTATATGGTAGTGTATTTAATTTAAATACTCAGTGGTTCCTGCAATTTCTGTAGATAATTCGCTTGTTTTCGTATCAAATATAATCAGAAAGGTCTGTTTACACTTGCAATTTTCGCTGCGATTTCTATTGCGATTTTCTTCTGATGGATGTGAACAAGTGGATGAGCTTTGAAAGTTCAGATGAGGTACATATCTTGGGTACATATACTTTGAACATTCATAACTCATCTACTCGTTCACATTCACCAGAAAAGCAAAATCGCACTAGAAGCAGAAACAGGCCTGAAAACTATACCACAGTATACCCGTTGCTAACAGTTGCAAATCTTAATTTCGGAGTTGACAGGAAATTTTCATTCTTGGAACTCTGGGGAACTTGATTCTTTTTGGAACTTTGAAAGAAGCTGCGTTGTTTCCGGTATACGTACGGCGCACATCCCTGCGTGGCTGTTCCGGTGATCCCCCACCCCCTCCTCCTTGTTTTTCTGCACAGTACCTCTTCACCTCTTAGATCAGATTTTAAAACGTCAAATGTATGTGATAGGTAATCAGCTACAAACCATAAAATAAAATTACAATTATTAAAACATCATCAATGTAAAAAGTCCTTTCAAGGCTTGGCAATATCACGTTCAGTTTCGGTAGTCTTTACTTGGTGAAAATTACTGGTCGTTTTTTACCATCACCAGTTTGCTCTATGCCACATAGTGACCATACAGTGTACTATTTAATTTTCAGATGTCCTGTACGTGATTATTTCCGCTGTTGTTGTCTATTTACAACGAATATGATAACATTATACATTGCTAAATAACTCTCTCCTCCGCAGAGGCTTTCAATCTCACTCTAGTCACTAGCAGTGAACCGGTCGCTAGAGTGTAATGCGCTATAGAGTATTATAATATAAATGTGATACAACAGACGATTTGATTGGCTAATGCGCGTGCATTCACTGCATTGTGACGCAATAATGCACTGTGATCTGTGGCACTGCCTTGCTCTTTCTCCGTTTTCCCCCTCTTCATCACTGCTTTTTAGCCAAAAGTATAAACAAAACTATAGAGCTTTTAAAATACAAAATTTACCAAAAAGCAAGAAGGAATAGACCAAAGGAACAAAGCAATTTTCTATAGTTCTACGTGTAAAATTAACCGGCTTGGCATTCGTCGAATTTGTTGTTGTCTCGACAAGTTTTGGGTAAAAGCGTACAAAATAGTCGAGAAAAGATACAGGAAGACCAAATACATAAAAAAGGCAACAAAAACTGAATATAAGTGATTTAGTAAGTACCTGTAATTCTTCTGATAATAACTGTTAGATATATGATGCTTGTGATGTTACTCTGAGTGTATATCCACACCGGGCAAGCTTGAAAAATATGCCTGACTACGGTGGGAATCGAACCTACGACCTTTGGAATGCTAGCCCAATGCTCTGCCAACTGAGCTACGCGGTCTGGTCGGTTCGAGTATGTGATATTTCGGAACAGAATCTAGTTCCTTCGATATCAATGTATTCTAATAATCATGATTATTAGAATACATTGATATCGAAGGAACTAGATTCTGTTCCAAAATATCACATACTCGAGACCAGACCGCGTAGCTCAGTTGGCAGAGCATTGGGCTAGCATTCCAAAGGTCGTAGGTTCGATTCCCACCGTAGTCAGGCATATTTTTCAAGCTTGCCCGGTGTGGATATACACTCAGAGTAACATCACAAGCATCATATTCACCTGTGTACATTGCACCAACACAGAAAAAAATCATGATTGCTAGATATATTTTCGGCGAAAGACAAAAAATACAATAATTTCGAAAATTAAAACTGAATATAAACACGACGAAACCTACGATTTCCCGTCTTTCATGGCAAATCCAGCAGCCCAGATGCTGAAAAACTTTCGCAATTAGTCTGTGTGTCACTGTTTTTTTATTTCCACTATTTTAAACAATTTTTCCGGCTTTATAGCATCAAAAGTTTGTATTTTGTTTTGGCAATTTTGCTCCTTCGCTCGATTAAAAATTCAAGCGACGGTAAAAGCAAAGATTAGATACTATAAAGATGTGCCACTCTGCGAAAATTATGTCCGAGATTTTTTTATAGCCGCCATTTTGCAAGTAAGTGTCAAATTCAACGCCATCAGTCTCTAAATAGTAAAATCCAACGCCATCAGTCTCGCCGCCATTTTGGCAGTAAGTGAAAATTACGGACACGCAAACATTAGGGAAATACGTCGAGTGGCACATCTTTATGGTATCTAATCTTTGGTAAAAGCATGCGCGTGACGTCACTGAGTACATGTTAGGAGAATTTCAACGTCGATCTTTTGAGTAAAATTGTTTACTATGTAATATCTTCTACTTATATTATAAAAGAAATAGAAAAACTCGTCTCGTGCGTTTATAGTGCAATAATGCACTTGGGGAATGTTGGGAGAATACTCGAGAAGCGTGTAAAACACTCGGCTACGCCTCGTGTTTTACACGCTTCTCTCGTATTCTCCCAACATTCCCCGCGTGCATTATCACACCATAAACGCACGCGACTCGTTTTCTATTTCTTAATTAGTGCCTTTCCATAAGACGTCCAGAAAAGCACACTGGGAAACCTCCGCAGAGGAGAGGCTAAATAAGTTATAACCATTTTCGTTATAACTCAATGTGTTCGGCAGTTATGTGTCTCGGCAACGCAGAAATACGTTAAACTTACCTCGTGAAATAGTTTTCAAAATTATCAGCGCAGAAAGCATTCGCTCATCCAGATTCGAACTACGTATATAGATCTGAGCTTTGCTTTTATTTTTCTTCATATCAAGCCTTGCGTCTGGTTGCTTGATTATCTGAAATGGAAATTTTAGGCATTTGGTACCCAAATAGTTGCGTGTGTTTACTGTTCATGGTAAGATTGTACAATGTAAATTCTGTTCAAATTTTGACGTCCTATAGGCTTCGTTTACGTGAGACCAGAACGAAATAAAAGTGGACAAAAATCAACATTGCACAACATTGCATATGGAAATCCAATTCACAAGGAATGTTATCAATATTGTTTGCAGTTTTTCTTTATTATAGACCGATTCGAAAAGTGGTTGCCATTCGTTTTTCTCCCGACATTAATTTTAACCGGGGTAATCATAGTTCCCCACTGGGGAGAAACCTCGACACAAAGAGCGGCTGCGAGGGAGACTAAGGTAATCACTGTCGCCATATAAAATAATTCAAGACTATCAGTTTAACAAAATTTAAATATAATACCATGCATGTACTCCCTTTGGGAAATTAAATCTTAAATGTACCAGGGTTTAGATTCGGCGAACGAGCCTGGCTAGCCTCGTTTTGGTGATTTTTACATATTTCAAAGGGATATAAATTTCACTTCCATGGATTGTTTTGAATCCCAAACTCTTATCCTTTGCCTTAAATATCAGTCTCTGTTGAAAAATTGCTTATCGACCTGGTAATGTATAAAATATAAAATAATGCAAAATTGTGGCGGCTATAGTTTTCGAATAGGTCAATTCATCCAGCTCCGAAATTGTTGCTGGCCGGAGATAGTCGGGATGACAGTTTTTAACCTATAGTCCCATGTATGTGTCGTCTCAACAGCAACTTTGGACAACACTACGGCCCAAACGAAACCCTCCTGCTACAGGGTCCAGGTCTATCATAGCCTGCAAACAGGCTCTCAAGCTGAATTGAGAGCCTGCATCGATGACTAATGAATTTGAATATCTGCCCCGTAACGTTCGTTTTTCCAAATATGGAATGTCTATCCTTATATGGTGTTGTTTACAACTTTCGTGCAAACTAAATTTAGACCATGCAAACTAAATTTAGACCGTACAGTTTATACTGTTTTTCGAAATATAAGATATTGAAGCAAAAGTTTAAATGTTTTAAATACTGTTTTCTCAACACAGAACGTTTCGTGCTTTGAGATAAGATGGCCACGACCAATTTGATCAGTTAATGTGTTTTTTTATGCATAGTGCTAGCAGTTGACATATATAGAGCTCAGCAGAATAATATGAA